GTGCTCAGCATCTCAAACCTGATGGCAGCCACTGTGAGGGTGTCGATCACCTCAGTCCAGGCCTTATCTGTGGAGAACACCGGTGCCATCACACACAGCTCACTCCATTCTCATCTCATGTCACCCCCAGCGCCCAGGCAGGAACCCCCACTGGGGCCAGGGGGCTCCAGTGGAAGCAGGGACCACCACTCTTCCCAGCCCTGGCCCCCATCTGCAGGTGCTGGTGCCCCGTGTACCAGTTTAGACCCCTCCCCTCGAGCCAGCTCAGCACCTGGCTCCCTTGCAGAGGGGAGGGGGAGCCCTGTGCTGGGGAGAGCCCCACTGGCTGCCCACACAGAGGGGAAGTGGGGAGACTCATAGGAGCAGCACAGACTGGGACAGAGCAGCATCCGTGTAGAGCCACAAAGCAAACTCTCACCTTGCGCAAGCTCCCCGTACTTCATCACGGAGGCTTCGTACATCTGGTGCTTTCGGAGCCTGCAAGTAACAGACACAGCCACCACCCCTGAGCTGAGATCGCCCCAGGGAGCGTCCCAGGGCTCCCCCAGCCTTTGGGCTGTTCGGGGCATCCCAGCTGCAGCAGCGACCCAGCCAAGCAAAAGTGGTGCAAAACCTCCAGCAGGCAGGGATGGCCACACCGGGTCACAGGGAAACCACTGTGCCAAGCACAGGCTCTGCCTTTTGTCAGGGAAAGGGCCGCCTCCGTGCCAGGGCCATCCAGTAATGCACGAAGGCAGGGAGATACCACCCTGCACCCCTGCGGCACCCAGCTCCTGCTGCTGCGTTTCCTCTTGGCAGCATGGAGAAGGTCCCTGGGACTGGGGAGGGAGCCCTGTGGCCTCCATTCTGCATCTCCAGTCCTCTTGAAATGGTCCTGAGGCCACAGCAAAGCAGAATAGAGGGACTGCGCAGAACTCTCTGTGATCCACCAGCTCGCTCAGCACTGCAGCGTGGCAGCCGGTGTGCCCAGGGGCTGGGCAGAGCACGGGGAGCCGTGTCAGGCAAGCAGTGCAGCGGGCACCCTGCTACACACCAACTTACTGGAAGTACTGGTCTGCCCCGATGGGCGAGGAGGGGTTTGTCACCTTCACTGGCCCACAGACAAGGTGCTTCTGAAAGACAGAGGCGAGGGGTCAAAGACTCAGAAGGTCCCCCAAAACGCAGCACAGGAGAACCAGGCTAAAACCAGCCCGGCTCTAGCTGTGTCCCTGCGGGCTCGTCCTGTCCCTCCTTTACTGCTGAAATCCCAAGGGCAGAGGGTCTGCTCCATGGCTTAGGGAAGAGTGTGGAGGGGCCACCAAGGGAAAAGGAATTCTCACAGGAGGGCAAGGCTGGGCCACAGCATTTGCTGTGGGGCTTGAAGGAGGCTGACTGGGCATAAGGATGCTGGGGGCCACAGTGAGGAGGGTGGGAGGTTCCTCACCTGCAAGGCTGTGTGGACTCCTGGATCCAAAATCCTCCAGAGCAGATCCAGCTGCTGCTGCTGGAACTCCTCCTCGCAGTTCACCACATGCACGATGCTGCAGCAGCTCCCCTGGCCTCCAGCCTGCAGCAAAGCACACCAGTGAGCTCACACGCCGCTGCGTGACGGAAGGAAATGGTGTCTGGAAAGTGAGAGGCCGGCAGCACCACAGGGATCCTCACCGTGCACTGCAGAACGGCTTGCTGCAGCTCAGCCAGGGCCCGCAGCTTCCCCTCCGTCACTGAAAGAAGGAAGGATATTCAGAGTGAGACACGAGGGCTTGTCCCCCTGCCGCCATCCTGCCCCGAGTCTGTCCCCCAGGCTGGCTCAAACCGGATCAAAGGGGAATAAGGAGAAGGCAATTTGGATCTAAACGTCCCTTACTTTCTGTAAAAACAACTGGAAAAAAGGAAACAGGCCTGTTCACAGCGGACCGCCTCCCTGCTGTCATACCAGAGATGCTGAGGCTCACCAAGGAGGACATCCAGGTTGGGGTCGTAGCCCACCAAGCCCTGCTGCTCCACGAAGCTCCTCAAGTGCACCGCGCAGACGACATCCTGGGGCTGCGCAGCCTC